ATAATCACGCAGTCCGTATCATGCAAATTGTGTGATTGTATAAAGGTTTTTACTATGATGTGCTTATAAAGAAGTATCTTTTTATAAGTTTATTAGTAAAAGTGCTGCAAGCATTAGCGTGATTATAAAAAGGGTTTTACTATGATGTGATTATATAGGAGGTGACTATATAGGAGGAAGGTGATGCAGATCAGCCGATGTTCTATCTCGTCGAATAAAGGATTAAATATTATTATTATTATTAGCCAGGACATTAAAAATATGGCATCGGCTACAATTTTAGCCGGCTAGCTAAGCCGCTCGGCCAGCTAATATCTAATAGCCGGTTATAGCCGTAACCGTTCCCATCCCTAGTTTAGAGCTTCTTTTTATTTGTAATTTGAACTTTGTATTAATTCTGCTTTTGGTGTGGTGCTTATGCGAAAAGTGATTTAAATCATCATCCGCATTTGTGAATTTCGGTATACGTAGAATTGATTTTCACATGCTATCTGAACAGCTCATGACCAGCTACTAACTTGTGCGAGTGAAATAGTGATGGTGCAAAAATTTGGCGGCCTGTGACACAATTGAGAACTTGAATAGCGAATTAATAATTAGATTTCAATTTACTACATTAGCAACTTTAATAATGGATATGCGATTGTATATACTAACTCAACTAATGGTAATGTAACTCTAATAAATTATCCGTGAATGCAGGATTATATGCTATGATATTGGATTATAATCAAACAAAAACAAGCCAAAAAATTACTATGTACGAAGTAACTAATAATCCAAATATATCACTTATTGGGATACTTTATATTGTTCTATTGACTACATTTTCATTGGTAATATAATAGTTACGGTGCCATTAGTGCAGTAGATAAATTTTTTATCTACAGGAACTGTTTTTCATCAAACCTGGTATTCAACACTAAGTAAGGGAGATCGTTATTCTGCCTTTTGGAGAACATGCATTAATAAACCGACAGAATAATGACAAGACATGAATTTTAATGTTAGTCTTTATGACGAAAATGACCAGCTATCTAATTTGGTGTTCCTACAGCATTCTATTGTCACAAATCTAGTTGGCGCATTCGACATATTGCAAAATAATACGTTGTTGGTGGCACAAAATGAACCAGCAAATGCTTGGAGTTTTCCTTCAATAGATTTGCCCCAATTTAGCCCGTATAATGGTAAAATATTTTTTAATTTATTGATTACAAAATTATTCCCAATTTAAATGATAATTATAATTATATGTAGTGAGTGCTCCGAACGGGTCGGGTCGGGTTGAAAATTTTCGGGTTAGAGCTTCAACCTAACCGAACCCGACCCGAAATTTTAGGGCTAATAAATAAAATTTTTTTAAAAAAATTAATTCAATCGCCCTTTTTGCTCTCAACCGTTTAATAATTCATGTAACGATGATCATCGAAGTTGGCTAATCAAATCTAAGCGCGGTATGCTTATAAATTCAGCGGGCTACTACAGTAAGAATCGTGCATTGCATATTCGGAATCAATGAAAGTTTTTTTTATTTTTATCCTATGGACTCATGGAATTAATATAAAAAAACTTTAATGATTTTGCTGTCGAGAAATTATTGTTCGAAGTTAGGGAGGCGATTATTAAACCAAACTTTGATCGAATTAGATAGGTAATTGTTGAGATATTTTCGTTCAAAGTTCGAAATAAGTATATAATATTATTACCTGGGATTTTTAAATTCATTAGCTTGAAATATCAACAAGTACACACCAATTAGATCTCTTCGATGAATCAAACTAATTTTTTTTTAATTTTTCCGTGCTATTACAGCAATCGGAACGCTGGTAACGTCTTTATTAATGTCTTATTTGTTACAGGAAATTTAAGTTATACACTCTAGTGCTACGTACATCACCTGTAGAACCCAGGTGTTCCCTAATCCTCTAGTGTCACGTGTTGACAAGTCTACTACTTTCGTAGTATCCAATCAAACTAATTTCAATACGTGTAATATTTTTAAAGTAAAAAATATAGCCAAATTTCAAGTTACGTATCGACAGTTTTTTAAAAAATTGATTTTCATGTTATACTACCTAGCTTTCTAGCTGCCGCAACAAATTTCACAGCAGATTCTCGATTTTGATTGGCTAAGACAAAATTTAGCCGGAATTACTCAGAATTCTACTAATGAAACAGAGCCTATTAATTGAAAATTGTTCCCGAGTCAATTTTACAACAATGCGGGATTATTTTCTAAAAATTTCTACTTTAGTAATGAAAAAATCAAAAGGTAATAACGGCCGGAAATTAGTAAACAATTATGTATTGTGGGTCAAAATTTGCAGATCTGCAGGCGTTAACCAATCAAAATCGAGTGACAATTTTGTGTCGATCGTTTGAAGAAATCTGATTGTTTATACTTGAAGTTTTATTTAAAATATTATTTTAAAAATACATATGCACTTGCTATTAGATCCAAAAAAGAACATAAAATGCTAATTTCGTGCATCTATAAATTGGATAATTTTCGGGTCAGGTATTACAGGTTGATGTTAAACGGCAGATTTTTCACACGGTGTGAAACATATAGATAAATAATATATAAATAAATAATTTTACATCATTCCGCTAGTACATGTTATGATTATAATCCAACACCATTTTTACTAATAAAAGTGGTGTTGGATTATAATCATAACATGTACTAGTGGAATGATTTGGTATTGTAAACTTTTTTTTTATATGTTGCACACCGTGTGAAAATCTGTCGTATAACATCAATGTTCTTACCTGTAGTCAGATATTTCTAACACGAACCCGACCCGATTCGGAGCACTAATTACATGTATATATGGTGGTTGTGGCAATTTACATATAAACTCCACATATCCTCTAAGAAACTCCAAATTCTAATGTTGAATATCAATATGATCTACATCACGTTTTATAATCGCATTTCTTCGTTATCAAATACAATTTAACCATCTATCAAATAATCAATAACACTAATATTTAGTGAATGCAGTAAGTAATTCAAATGCCACAACTAGTTTTCTTGTACTTTTAATGATTCGGGTGGCCAATATTATATACAAATGAATGTTAATTTTGTAACGAGTACAGATTACAATGAGCCCATGCTTGGAATTAATCCAAATTTTCAATCAGGTTTATAGATGCTGCAAAATGCAATTATTTAATTGCTACATTTATTGATTTTATTGATTAACTAAATAGATAACAGCGCAACACCAAGTCAAGAGCGTGATTTAAATTTATTTATATAAGTAATATCCATGGCAGACTACGATTAACAATATCTGGATCTCCATATTTTCGAGAATTAAATAACTCAGGAAAAGATAAAATTTTTGCAAAATTAATAAATGAGCTCGTAATTATAATTCCTACAGAGCAAGAAAGGTTGTATTCAAACAAGCTTTACCAGGTTGATAACTCTTTGTCCGGTGTGGAGCAATATCTTATCTCATTTGCGATTCTTGAGATGAGAGATGGTGATAAAAAGAATTCCACAGTAATTACAGATGATTTAAATCTACTGATTCAAAGTAAGTATTCAACAGGCATTTCAACGGGAACCACTACAAAGTATTTAGACGAAACATACGGAATTAAACCATATAATATGGCCAGTTGTCTCTTGTCTTTAATTTAATCAATTAATTAATTAATTAATTTGTCCCTTTTTATAGTCTCATTATCAATCAATTAATTGATTGATTGATTGATTTATCTCTTTTTATAGTGTCATTATCAGAGTTCTAAAAATTATATATGTCAAAGTTCGTTGTGGTTTAGTTTTATTCATAGTGATATTTTTAATAGTCAGAATAAAATCACCAAAGATAACATTTATATTAATTTTTTTTAGTTCTTTCCCCATGATTAATATGTGATATAAAATATAGTGCCGAAACTTTATCATTCTCCAACTTGTTATTAATATATTTCTCATAGTCGCTATAACAGTATTTGTTTTTGTAACGCTAAAACTATCCAAGCCCTTTTCAAGATTATATATTATCCAATGTGTTAAATAATCGTATTAAATTATTTTTTTATCCTTAAATAATTAGCGTAATAGTTTTGGAGATCCCTACATTATGTAACTTATTTTAGAATTCAACTTAAACAATTTGAATGATAGTTTGAGATAAATATAAAAAATTTACGCATGGTATTCAAATTATGTAAGATCTGTTATATTAATTGTATTGTTATCTGGCGCGAATGTTGATGTGTTACTAATATTAATATCGAATTTTTGAGAACTTGACTTTTTCAAAGCGCAAAATAATTTTCTGGGGATCTTGCGCTGATATGTTTCTAGCAGAGATGCCGCAATTGACATTCAGGTATGCTTAAATAAATATAATTAATAATTTATTTTGCTAATAACGTAGGTTTATATTAGATATCATACATACTTTATATTGTCGAATATAATATTATTCCTTTGTTTGCCTTAATGGCATCAGGGCTTTCAATGCTTTTCAACACAATTAGCAAGCTATTATACCAGGAACGGAGTGATGCAATCACGAAGTGTATGGTTACTATGGCATTTTTAATGGTGTACGTCCGCAAAA